CTAAAGACATAAAGCATCCAAAATAGTAAGTTCTTAAATTTATTTTCTGTGACAACGTAATCTGAATCCTAACATGATAAACCAATGAATTAATACTGTTTGGTCTGTGGAATGGGAAGACTTCCTTCAGTCCCTTCCCTCCCCATTAAAATATTGCCTAGACCATAGAGCTTGTGTCTTATTTCTTTGCCTACCCACTCTCTTTCTCCTTGATTTTTTCCACCCATTTGGAGAGAGAGTCCAGGATGCTTGGTTTTCCAGGTAGGCAGGTCCTCACACTGAATAATCACAATCTGAAAGAAGTGAAGTCTAAGTCTCCAAAACGAATCCTTGTAGCTGCCTCCTCTGTAGATGCCTCCATGCATCATCCCTTTGGGCTGATTTTCTTACTGGAACCTTCTGCACCCACTTGACTTAGCCAGCAGTCAACACCTCTTCTGGGGACTGTCATGGAGGCTGACATAAAAGTAAAGGAAGCCCAGGTTTTGGTGAGTTTCTAGTCTAGTCCTGTGTGGCCATAGCCCAGTCCAAGAAAAGGGTTTAACATTTGATTAGCAAAAGACAAGTTCGAATAGAAATTCTTATGCTAGAAATGGAATAAGCACACACTGTAGGAATTGAGAAACAAGGAGCAAAACTGTGTGGTTTGAGTTAAATTAAGTGGTTTCCTGGACGAGGTGAGAGTGAAATACACAGGCTCCAAAGAGACTGAGAGGACATCCTAGATGGAAGAAATGGTTTACATGAAGTTATGCATTTGAAACCACAGCTTCTGGTCAGAAGAAGGCAAGCTAGCTAATTTAGCTAGAGCCATATTTTTGTGTAAGGGGTGAAGAGAAACGAGTTTATGACCTGAGCAAAGCAGCTGGCCAGGTAGCCTTAGACAAGTAACTATCTCTCTCGCCCTCATCTGCCTCAACCAGGAAATGAGTGGGTTAGGTGACTAGGGCACTGGGTGATGGTTTCCATCAGAGGTGAAGAGAGTTAATAATTAGGGGAGCAGTGTGTCAGGTACTCCAAGCTCTCCTAAAATTTCGTCTTGCCCTCCCCATTTCAGAGACGAAGTATTTCATCCAGAGTTTCATAGACTGTGAGTGACCAAGCAGGGACTAGGGTTGAGTCAATTTCTTTATCCACCATAAATGAATAGCTCCCATTTGCCAAGCACTGAACCAGGCCCTGGGAGACATAACAGTGAGTGGGACAAATACAGTTTCGCTCTCATTCTACTTAGGGTGTGGGGGAGGATAGTCAATAAAAAAGTAAATATCCAAGTGAATAAAGCAGGTTTAAATAGAAGCACATGCTATGGAGAAAATAAAATATGGAATCATGGTCATGATTTGGGGCTTCTTAGGTCAGGTGGCCTAGGAAGGTCAGGTGGCCTAGGAAGGTCTCTCTGAGGAGGTGGCAAACCTGGGTGGCGACTGGAAGGGCACGAAGAGGTCTGCCTAGTTGGCAAAGGGCAGAACTGGCCAAGCTGAGGTATTCATATTTGACAGCATGGATGAGGTCCCCAGTCTTTCTTTCTTCTGGAGAAGGAGTTGAAATTATTTTCCAAAGATCTTAAGATGGTGGAGGACAGGGAAAAGCAAGAGGGTGGCAGCATCAGAGTCCTAATATGGAAGTGGGGTGGCCAAAGTGACATCGGAAATTTCTGAGCAGGGTTGGGAAAGGTTGTTACCATTCACTTCCATCCCTTGCCCGTTAGCAATACCAGAGGCTTCAGAAAGTGATGATGACAGTCATCTTGGAGGGCCAAGTAAGGCTTGGTAATAATATTAATATTTATAATAATAATAGTTAGTAAGAATATTAACTATTAGATAACATTTAAGGAACTTTAAAAAAAAAAGATTTTATTTATTTATTTGACAGAGAGAGATCACAAGTAGGCAGAGAGGCAGGCAGAGAGAGAGATGGGGAAGCAGGCTCCCTGCTGAGCAGAGAGCCTGATGAGGGGCTCGATCCCAGGACCCTGGGATCATGACCTGAGCTGAAGGCAGAGGCTTTAAGCCACTGAACCACCCAGGCGCCACATTTAAGGAACATTTTAAAAAATATTTCTTTATTTTAGAGAGAGAGAGTGCATGAACAGGGGGAAGGGCAGAGGGAGAAAGAGAGGGGAAGCCGACTTCCTGCTGAGCATGGAGCCCATGTGGGGCTCAATCCCAGGACCCTCAGTTCATGATCTGAGCTGAAACCAAGAGTCAGACACTCAAGCAACTGAGCCACCCAGATGCTCCAAGAAACATTTTTTTATGTACTAAGCATGTGGGAACAGTTTTAAAGCATTAACTTATTTAATCTTCATAGTAACTATAGGAGAAATATAGTATTATTATCCTAATTGTAATAAAGATGCTGAGGTTTAGGGAGGTACAGTCACTTACTCAAGACTGTACAACTGAGATGGGTGGAGCAAGGATGCACATCTGGGTGCTCTGAGCCTAGGCTCTTGATCATCCATAGGCTTCAAACAGTCACGTAATATTTGATCTGGAAGTGATCTTAGATATCATAGAGATAAGAAATTTATAATTCGGTCCTCTGAGAGAAGACCTCTGATTTAGGATAATCCCTCCTCTTTTGACAGATGAGAAAATTAAGAGTCAGAGTATCAGATTAGTGATGGAAATGGAGGGTTGATGCTGAGTTCTGACTTCTGCTTGAATGGTCTTTGTAATCTATTCCACCGTACCCCTAATTATGCAGATCCTGGTTAGGAACCCTAACAGAAGTGATTGCACAGAATCATAGCCTCCAAGAGGGGAGAGACAAGCATGAAATAAGATAATGCACATAAAATTCTTGTTTTGGGCTCAGCACAGAGTAAGGGCTCAGTGCATGCCCATGTCTTTGAGAAAGTCCACATGGCTGGTTTCTGTGCCCAGTGGCGAGAACAGCTGGGCCACGAATGGGGAAGGGGAAGCAAGACACACAGGTGGAGAAGGGCTTCCTCTCCCTGAGCCTGCCATCTTGATTGATGTGCCACAGTCCTTACCAAACCCCATCCACCACAGTGAAAGTAAAATGTCTTTAGAAACCTTGTAACCCATCATTAAAACTGCTGGGTGTACGAAAGCAATTGCTTGCCCTAAATAAGTGACTTATGATTGCCCTTGGTTTGTCTGAGTTTTCCTTTAATTATAGGCCCTCTTGAAACACTCAAACACACAGGGCCTTTGTAAATTTGTATCCCCTCTCTCTCACATACAATCCTCCCAAATGCACATACTCCCTTGCATTTATAGAGCATAAACACCCATCTCTTACTCATTCACATAATGAATTTCAGCCCCATGCATCTCAATTGAAGAGGGACCCAGGAGAATTATGGGTATCTGAGCAGTTTTCCTGTTCCAAGGCACCACAGGGCTCTTGGAAGAGCGGGTCCTTTACGGGGAGAAAATAATGGGCAAAAAGTGCTCTTGACTGATAGACCAGTCCGAGCATTCTCTTCCCTATAATAATAGAGTTGTTTGCTTGAGCCATTCCCTAACCAAATTTCAAATTTCTTCCACTGCACCCCACTTTAGGCTTCAAATTATTGCACCCCCCCACCCATCCTCTTTCCTTGCTAACTCAACTTGATGTCTTTTGGTTTTGGAAAAACTTTGTAGGTATTTGGAGAGACTAGGAAAGTCTTCTGTCCTCTACTTGGATTTCTTCCTTGTCAGAAGAGAGAAGTGGATTTTACGGAGAGGTACAGAGTGTCTGGGGGACCAGTGCCTGAAACAGGGCTCCTCAGAACTAAATGGGAACTCATAGCTTGATGGTCTTGTCCCCACCGATCCACACTCAGCCTTCCCTTCCAGTGTCCGAGATGACACCTGGTCAAGGATTTTATGAGAGAAACTCTTGGAAGAAGTACTGGTAGATTTCCCTGTTGCCCACCCTCACTCAGTCCCTCTCCAGTAGGAGGACAACCTCTTTCTTTACATCCCCTCCAGGCATTGGTGCTGGTCCAGTGGTCTCTTTCCTTCCCCAAGCCCTGGGTGATAGTGGTTACCCATTTGGTGGTGTGAGAACTCCCACTGGGACCTGTTTCAAGGTCCTGTTGTGATGTCCCTGAATGGGGAGGGATTGATTGTCCAAATCCCTGAAAATTTAAACTCTGCACCAGCTATCATCCCACCATTGCCCCAGGGAAGATGGTGGGCCCACAGGGCCCTGGGTTTGAGACAGGTTCTCCATGTTCCTGGGAATTTGCCTTCTAACGACAGGACATTTACAGGGACAGTTCTTGGTTCTGGGTCTTTTAGGGGACAGTATGATGAAGAAACAGCAGGGATGTTTCAAGGGGTGGGGGGGGGGATGAGGCCGGCCTGGGAGGGGGCGGTGGTCTGTGGGGAGTCTTTATTCCCAACTCCTAACCTTGACTGCCTTGAGAGAAAGTCTTGGACGCAGGGAGCAGACAGATGTCGGTCGGGACAGAAGTAACTGATGTGTGAGGGCACTGGGGCAAAACGCTAGGGCAAAATGCGAACCGAGACACTAAGGCTGGTTTCTCTAGCTAGCCCACGCCTCCTGCCTGGGCTCAAGGCCACTCCCTCCCCGCCAAGTGGCTCTCGGTTCTGGAGGCGGGACTGAGTTCTCCGGTGGCCCCTGGAGGCTCGGGGCAGCAAGCTTTGGGAGGCTGGGAGGGGAGAAAGGGAGGGGCGCTGACTGGGCAGTCCAAAGAGGAGGGGGCCTTTAATAGGCTCGCCCAGCGCCTGGTTTGCGGCGCCGCGAGAGGCTGCGGCTCGAAGAAGCTGCCCGGCACCTCCCTCTAGTTTTCGTCTGCGAATCTCCGTCCTTGCACTTGACAGCGATTGTACTTAAGCTCCCAGAGCGCGCTTTGCTGTGGAAAGGCACAGGTAGGAGGCGCGGGCTGCTCGGTGCACGCTCACTCCTCTGGGAGGAGTTTCTCTCCCTTTGCTCTGCTTTCCGGGAGCTACTGACTGCCCCGGAGCGTTGGTGGTTCCCCTGTGCCGGCTGCAAGGAGACTCGCCGGCGGGGGAGCGGGGCCGAGCCCTTCGGAGAGCGCGGCCGTGCGCTGCCCGGCGCCATGCTTCTGCTGGGTATCTTAACCCTGGCTCTCGCCGGGGTACCTGCAGGCGGGTCAGAGCCAGACCAGGAGGTGGTGGTCCCCATCCGACTGGACCCGGACATCAACGGCCGCCACTACTACCGGAGGGGTCCCGAGGACTCAGGAGATCAGGGACTTATTTTTCAGATCACAGCATTTCAGGAGGACTTTTACCTACACCTGACTCTGGATGCTCAGTTCCTGGCGCCCGCCTTCGCCACAGAGCATCTGGGCGTCCACCTCCCGGCACTCACCGGGAGCTCTCCAGACTTGCGACGTTGCTTCTACTCTGGGGACGTGAACGCCGAGCCAGATTCCTTCGCCGCTATGAGCCTGTGCGGGGGTCTACGCGGAGCATTTGGGTACAGAGGCGCCGAGTATGTCATTAGTCCGCTCCCCAACGCCAGCGCGCAGGCGGCACAGCGCAACAGCCAGGGCGCACACCTCCTCCAGCGCCGGGGCGCCCCCGGCGGGCCTCCCGGAGATCCCACCTCTCGCTGCGGAGTGGCCTCAGGCTGGAACCCTGCCATTCTGCGGGCGCTGGACCCTTACAAGCCGCGGGAGGCCGGCTTAGGAGAGAGTCGCAGTCGGCGGAGGTCCGGGCGCGCCAAGCGCTTCGTGTCTATCCCGCGTTACGTGGAGACTCTGGTGGTGGCGGACGAGTCAATGGTCAAGTTCCACGGCGCGGACTTGGAGCATTATCTGCTAACGCTGCTGGCCACGGCGGCACGACTCTACCGCCATCCTAGCATCCTCAACCCCATCAACATCGTCGTGGTCAAGGTGCTGCTTCTCGGAGACCGCGACACAGGGCCCAAGGTCACGGGCAACGCGGCCATGACGCTGCGCAACTTCTGTGCCTGGCAGAAGAAGCTGAATAAAGTGAGTGACAAACACCCAGAGTACTGGGACACAGCCATCCTCTTCACCAGGCAGGTGAGTTGATCTGTCACCTTTTTGGACCCCAGTAGCCTCATTTTCTTAGGGTTACCGCCCTTAGCTCCCCAAATGCCCTTTGTGCCTAACAGGTGAGCCGGGTTAAAATTTTGTTGCTCTCTTCCGACTCCCACTTTGGATATTCCAGGGACAGGCCGCTCCTAGGTTCCGTGGAGCTTCGGCTCGCTTGCCTCTGGAAGCACGTGGGCGGTCGGAGGAGCGCCAGCTACTTCAGAAGGTGTTGGCCTGGAGTGGCCAATCAGCGCCTCCTAGATTAGGCGTCGAGGGGTTGGAACCCAGGAAGTTGCCGCCCCGGAGCCGCAGTGTGTCTGCATGGCAGATAGGAGGCGCTCTGAGGATGGTGTTGGAGGGGTCGGAAAAGGTCCGCCCCCTTTCAACCCCGGCGTCTAAATCCTTTCAGACGTCTCTTCCGAGGCGTCTCTGCTTTGCTTGTAAAACTGGAAAGTGATGCAAGCATCCCAGTTCAGATCCTGGGTTCATTTCTTCTGGGCATGTTCAGTCATCCACTGTCCTAGGCCTGGAAAACATGGACTGGGATGGAGGGAATCATTTGGGATATTTTGTGGTTGAAATGGAGAAGACAGATTCAAGTCCGGGGAGCATTCCGTCCTTCGTTGCTGCTTCTCCTGTACCCTCCTGTGCTGGGACCGCCTTCTACTTGAGGGATCCCAGTCCATTCAGAGCTGGCAATCTAGTTAGAGCACCTGTTTGGAGTCAGAATTTCTAGTGGTGTTTCACTTGGAGCTGAGTTGGGGAAAATCTCTCAATTTTCCCATTTCCTTGCTGGCCCAGGGTGACACGTTTGCCCTGATGTGTGCTGTGGAGCAGAAGAGGCAAGGTGGCTCATGACACCGACTCACTGAAACTTCCGATGACCACACTTGACGGTGGGGCTCCAGCTTCCACCTCTGGCGGTGGGCAAGTGCTGTGAGCTCAGTAAAGAGCATCCGGAGACCCCAGGTGTGGGATTGGAAAGATACCGAGTACAGGGCTAAGAAAGATGGTCAGATCACCGAAGAAGCTCTGCCTTCTGCTATGAGTTTATGAACATTTATGGTTATAGATGTTGGAGCAATGGGGTCCCGTGAAGTTTTTGGAGTCGTGCAATATCTTTGATTCACGGATAGGACTGGGAGGAAGATGGGTGTCCAAGTGACCCGCTTCCTCTGATTTTGGGGCTTAGCTCGAATCTGTGCCATGCTCTTGTTTTGTTATTATCGCAACCATGTCATTCCGGGGATGGCCCAGAATCCTTGGTTGCCTGTGGGGCTCTGACTCTCCACTCTTTCCAAAGGCCACTCAGAGCTGCACTGGCACACACCGGGCTGGAGCTAACGTCTTCCACACTAACCCATTTGGCACTGCTTGTCCCCTCCTGGAATTGAACTTCCTCCTTTCCCAGCCTTCTCCTCCCACCACCTGGTTTCTCTAGGGAGGTCTTTGGCCTGAGTCTGCTTCCTTGCACTCATTCTTCCAGCTGAGGTCTGTGGAGCTGCCACTGCCCGGCCCCTACACACACTGCCTGAGTCATGGGGAAACTGCAGAGGAGGTGGCTTCCACCTCTGCACACAGACCAACTCGGCAGTCAGATTGCTGGGGGAAAAAAAGCAATGGCCAAGAACAGGATATCTTAATGGGCAAAGCAGCTGTTGGCCCATCTGCTACCTGGGATGCCCCTGTGGAGGTCACTCACGGCTTCTAAAGTAACAGACCTCAGTCTCCACTGCTTAGTGGCTAGGCTGACTTTTGGAATCAGCCATAGAAAGAGGACTCCTGCTGGGAACATGGGCCACACCATCAGAAGGATTCGCCTTTTGAAGAAGCAATCAAGCAGCGTGACAACTTCTGTCTGTCAGTGGTGTGTGCTAGACCCAGGGGCTATGTTAACCATGCATAATGGGGACAAGATGCATGAGCACTTGGGTCAGAAGCAGTGATGGGCAAGATGTGACTTTTAGAAGCTGTCTTTTTCTTAGGCGGCTAGAGGGCGAAGCCAGAAAGTTGGGAGGCTGTGTTGGCAGGACCAACATCCAGGTACGTGCTTAATGCTTTAGAATGAACATGTCTCTCTCTCTTGCCTCCTTGCCAGTGCAGACTTTAGGGCCTGCCACGTTCTCAGGGTCTTAGGAACTGCTCATTCCTCAGCTCCACTGGGGAAGGTACAGTATGTGATGAAAACAGAGCGTGCAGCTGCTCTCTGTAGACTGAGGCAGATGTGGTCTTGGGGAACCTGGACGAGTCTCCTTTTGTTGTACTTTGTAAGGGTTAGCAGGAACCCTTTAACTCTGATATGAGCTTCCCTGATTATTATTATGTTGGTGTAATCCATGCTTTTTCAAACTAAAATTGAAATATACATATATACACACACATATACATACTTATTTCTATGAAGATAAATATATACAGTTGATCCTTGAACAACATGGGTTTGAACTGCATGGGTCCACTTGTGTGTGGGCTTTGTTCGATGCAGCATGGTACTCTAAGTGTATTCTCTCTTTTGATTGTTTTCATAACATCTTATTTTCTCCTGCTTACTTTATTGTAAGAACATAGCTCATAGTACATCCAGCATACGAAAATACGTGTTAATCGACTGTTACCGGTACGGCTTCTGGTCAACAGTAGGGTATTCGTTGTTTAAGTTTTGGGGAGTCAAAAGTTGTATGGATTTTCGACTGCATGGGGGGCCAGTGCCCCTAACCCTTATATTGTTCAAGGGTCAACTGTATGTAGTTTTTTTGGCTAAGAAGTTTTTAGAAATGTGCTTATTTTGTTAATTGCCTTTTGCCTAGAATGGATGTCGAGCTGTCAGACGTCTTTAGTCACCTATTCCTTGGTCCCCCCCCAAAACTCTGAAAAATGGCTACTGACTCGGACTGATAGTACTGTAGCCATGGTTTTCACAGGGAGGAAGCAGGAATGGGTCAGGCTTGGTCAGACTGTATTTCTTCCCATGAAGAAGAGGTGAGCCCTGTTCCCGGAGAGCTCCAGGTGCCGGGTACTTGAAGGGAGGACAGTAGGGACATCAGGACTGCCAGCACTGGGGCTCCCCCTTCCATCCACCATCATCGGACTTGCTGTGTGTGTGAAAACAAGGCTGGAGCAGGCTACGGGGAGATGCTGCTTTCCTCCTGGCAGGGAGAGGGAGGGAAGTGGGGTGTTGAAATCAAAACACTAGGAAGACATGACCCAGGGAGGAGCCTTTGCTGTGTGCAAAGGAGAAAAAAAAATTGATCATACAACAAGTATTTTGACAATTTGAGGAGTTTACTTAAAGATTCAGAGTAAGTTCATGTTCCTGGAGAAGGAGCACACATCTGATTTTGCAAAGCAATCAGTCTCCAGACTCATAACAGCAGGGTGAGGTCAGCACGGGACTGGAACCAGGATTGGCAGAGAACTAGAGCCAGTCTTTCAGGGTGGACATTCGTTTCTTTTTTGTTTTCTTTAATTTTAATTTTTATTTATTTGACAGAGAGAGAGAGATCACAAGTAGGCAGAGAGGCAGGCAGAGAGAGTGGAAGAAACAGGCTCCTGCCAACAGAGAGCCTGATGCAGGACTCGATCCCAGGACCCCGAGATCATGACCTGAGCCGAAGGCAGAGGATTAACCCACTGAGCCACCCAGGCGCCCCTGGACATTCATTTCTATGAGAAGAAATGTTTCTACAGCTTCTTGTTGTGGTGGGCGGCAGGAATAGGGTATTTGGTGCTGGGACATAGTAGGTCTGCATGTCCCTCTGTCTTCTCTCTCTTTACGTCTGATGCCTCTGCTCTTGGGTTAACTTTGTGGTATACTAGGCTTCATGAATTTGTTCTACATTTTAAAAATACTCATTGAGCATCTGTTATTTCCAGGTACTGTCCTGGGCTATGGAGGTATGGATATTAAGATGTGGCCTCTGGCTCTCAGGAATTCACTGAATATCAGGGAGCCTGACAAGGAACTTAGCTTGGTATACTAGGGCATGTAAAGTGCCATGAAGGAGACACGGGTCCTCTGTCCAAAGTCCAGTGGGGAGGCATTTTCCTTGCGGCTGGAGCCAAGGAAGCCCTCCGAGTTGGGGTGGGGGCGTGGGGCGAGGGACAGGTGGCAAGAAGGCACTGGGATCAGAGCTGGTGGTGATGGGAAAGGAAGCTTGTCTCCTGTCCTGCAGGAGGTCCTCTCTTCCATCCCACCATCTGCTTTGCTATTTGTAACATTTTCTCCTTTGAACCGACTTTGTCTTGTGGGATTTACAGTTTGTGGTTTTTCTGTCCGTTTATTCCTTCCTTTGTGTTATTTATTCTGTTGTGCTTAGTACCACTGTGGGCCATTCCCTGGTCCCCTCCTCCCCTCCCCATTTCTTCTGTGCTCTCTTTCTCCTCTTTTGAGATTCTCCAGGGCCGTTCTTTGTCATCTCTCTCTTCTCTTTTGTTTCCTTCATCCAGTGTCCTCACCTTTCTGCCTTTCGGTCTCAAGCTTGGCGCATCCCTTCTTGTTCTGGCCTTGAGTTGTACTACGTTTTGTGGGACTGGTAGGCGGGGATGTACATGTATTCTATACTGTGCAGAGTGGGACGGCAGCCTGGAACCTCATTTGACATAGAGTCAGTTCTTTCTGTAATAAACGGCTTGCCACGTGGCACTGAAGTTTAGTGTTCAATGAAAATGTTAATAAAATGATAATATGCTTTTTATACATATCTCCTAATACAATACAGAGAATCATAATTGTGTCAGGATCTTTTTTGAAGTCAGGCCTTGGAAGATATTAGCAGAGAGCGGCATCTGTAGTTTCGGTATTTAAGAGTTTGTAAATCTTTACCACTGAATGGAAACTCAACACTACTTCTAGGCGGGAGGAGAAAGAAAGAGGAAGGAGTGGAATACTGTTGCTCCCTGACTTGGAAGGTCTTCTCCCTCCTTTGACTTGCACCAAATAAGAAAGCCTATATTAATAGTGGAAGATGGGGGAGGAAGTTTGGAGGAAGGAATGTGCACCTGAATCTCTCTGTGTCTCTTCTTTAGTTTTTATTTACATTCCAATTAGTTCACATACAGTGTGATATTAGTTTCAGGTGAACAGGTTTTTTTTTTTTTTTTTTTAGATTTTATTTGTTTGTCAGTAGGGGGGGAGCACAAGCAGGGGGAGCAGCAGGCAGAGGGAGAAGCTGGCCCCCCGCTGAGCAGGGAGCCCGATGTGGGACTCGATCCCACATCCCTGGGATCATGACCTGCGCTGAAGGCAGACGCTTAACTGACTGAGCCACCCAGGCTTTCCTCAAGTGTACAATTTAGTGATTCAACACTTCCATACAACACCTGGTACTCATCATCATAAGTGCACTCTGTAAATCCCCTCCCCTCTGGTTACCACTGGTTTGTTTGCTGTGGTTAAGAGTCAAGAGTTTCTTGATTTGCCTTTCTCTCTTTTCGCCCATGATCATTTTGTTTTGTTTCCCAAATTCCACATATGAGGGAAATCACATGGTATTTGTCTCTCTCTGATTGACCTATCTCTGATTGACGTTCTCTAGCTCCATCCGTGTTGTTGCAACTAGCAAGATACCATTCTTTGGATGGCTGAGTAATAGTCCGCTGTGTGGACACCACAGCTTCTTCATCCATTCTTCAGTCAGTGGACGTCTGGACTCCTTCCATAATTTGGCTCTTGTAGATAATGCTGCTATAAACATTCGGGAGGAACGTGCACCAGAATGATTTTCTCTCTTTTCCTTAAACATGGGGTTGAGTCAGGAAGGCAAATGAGGTTTTTTCCCCTCCTTTGGTCCTGCTCTTGTCCTACCTTTGAACTTCTTGGTAGATGTTTGATCACTCTTGGTGCATACCCTCGGCCCCCCACACCTTGCCTCGATGCCTGTCCTTGGTTGTGTGGCACAGTGGAAAGAACACAGACTTGGAGTCAGGCAGAGCTGAGTGTCAGGCCTGGCACTTGACTTTTAGCAATGGACATTGAATGAATCAGCCACTTGAACTTCACTTTCCTCATCCATAGAAGGACAATGACGATGACAATGGTACTGAGCTTAAAGGCAAGGACAAGTTAGCAAATGTTTCAGAACAGCCACCCAGTTAATGGCATCTACTGTCATTGTTACTTTCGTGGTCACTCAGCACGTGTTTGTTGTTTTGAATAATTACCTATAGGTCCCTTGCCAGAACTTACATTTGGGACAGTCCTGTTTTGAACTATTTTGTTGCATTGCACTTGTAATTATTTACATTGCACAGTTAATATTTTTCTGTTTTTGTGTGGAAACCATGGCCCCAGCATTTGCCATTCCCACTGACTTGTAAGCTCCTTTAACAAGACTTTTTTATATCTTTGTGGCTCCTCCAATGGACCCCTGTATGCTGCCGCTGTCCAGTATGTATTCATGGGAGGAAGGCACTGATGTCAGGGAAAAGACTGTGTGTGGCTGTGGGTGCTTAGGTGGTTCACCTCCCTTACTGGGGATCATTTTTCCAGCCTTTGCAACTGTCAAGCTGCAGGGTTGGGAGAGGGAGTCTCAGGTTCTTCTGGCATTTCTTCTTGGCTCTTTGCCATCAGTTTTTGCCCTGGAGAAATGAGAGGCCCCAGCGAGGAGCCAGCAGACATGGTGCAGAGCAGGGATGGGGTCATTGTGTCAGTGCAGGTGTGGGGCAAGGACTTAGGAGCTTCCTCAACAAGGAAGGGGGCACAGGCATTGTGCTAAGAGCACTCTTGGCACTTAATCCTGCCATTTCCCTCTCCATCAGCCTCTCCCAGGCCTCTCCCCACTTCGTGGCCAACATGCACTTTGGGGGCTGAGGGTATGGGGTGGACAGCCTTGCTATCTTGAGATTCCCTGGTCTCTTCATTTGTGGGGTGCATCTGTACCAGAAACAGTACTAATGCAAGGGAAGCATTCAGCTCTGAGGCTGCGCTTTTGGATTTCAACCTTCATTCTGCCTCTCCCTTCCTGTCTAACCTTGGGCTCACTGACCCTGTGCTAGTAACTTACCTTCTCTGAGCCTCATCTGTAAAATGGGCCTAATAATGACATGTCCCCCATAAAGCCATTGTGAAGATGTAATGAGCTAATACAGAAAAGCTCTTAGAACAGTGTTTGGTTCACAGGAGCAACTCAGTAAGAGTTCGCCACCAACATCGTGTTAGGTGTGCACCCTCTCTTGAACTGATGATTTCTGAGAGAAAGCTTGGTCTTCCTACAAGCTTCAGATTTCTCTGCTTCCTCATTGAGGTAATTCTTGTCTTAGTTATCTCAGTCTCCCGCTGTAATGCCATTTTGTACACCTTGAGGAATTTATATTCCAGCGAAACCGAACCTGGATGGACGTGACCAGGGTGCATTCTCTTCTTCATCAGGCATCCTTAGCCACATTGCCCATACACCTAGAATTGGTAGAATTTTTTTCTTCTAGCAAAACAAGGCCCTCCCACGTTTGGGGATCACAAACAGCCCTGGATTTGGGGTTGGACAAGGAAATACAGTGATGCATGGAAGAGATTCAGATGGAAACAAGTTAAAGGCACAATATTAATACCAGTGTGGGTGATTTTTAGCAGTAATTACGATATCCTGACTAGCATGCTGTGGTTCAGACCCAAGACCACTACCGGCCTTGGTGTCAAAAGGCATGGGGTTCAGTTCCCGTGTTAAAAGCTATGTGGCCTTGGGTGAGAAATCTTAGTCCACCGAGCCTTAGTGTCCCCATCTGCAGAATGAGAGGACTGCTCTGAAGTTGTGTGAGTGCGAGTCTTGGATGTTATGGTGTGGTCATGAAGATGAACCCTGCTTTTCCATGAAGAGGAAGTTGGTTACATGACAACATGTATTTTCTGCTACATTAAAAAAAAAAAGTTAGAATGCTTGATTTTTGTAGGTCCTCCACCCTGTATGGCTGGAAAATATGAGCATCTCAGTGCACGGCAGGGCAAAGGAGAGGAGCTGAGAAGGAGGGCCGTGGGGAGTTGTGGTGGGAGGTGGAGGGAGCGCGCCTGGGAAATGTGGGTTGAGCCATTGCAAGGTGCTTGCTTGTTTGCCTTCTCTCAAACTGTGGTTCCAATCCTAAATTATTCTGTGAAGAAGGACAGTTAGAAAACAATAATCTGGGAGGACTAGGATCTTGGCCAAGATGATTCTTGGGTTATCTGGAAAAGCAGCTGCAGCTTCAAGGAGAAACGGCAAATTACCAGAAATAGTGAGGTAGATAGGGGTTGGGTGGGAAGTGCCTACACCCTCCAGGCGGAAGGGACCAGAACAGTTTCTATTGCTGGAGACAAGTGCCTGAGATGAAGAGGTTAAAGCAGTTTGAGCGCATCTGAGTTCATTCCAGAAGGGTGGAGATCTTCAGTGCCACAAATGAGGCACTGCTGAGCCTTGGGTACCCGCCTGTGGGCGTTCAAAGAACTAAGGTCCAGCGATTCTTCACTGGAGTCTCTGACTGGGGGAAGAGGGACAGGCAGAACCTGTGACCGCAAACAGCTGCATCTTCCCACAGCGAAGACACTGGCTCCTGCAGGCGGGCTGCTCTCAGCTACACCCTGACCCTCAGGAAATGTGCCGGCTCCTTCCTTGTTCCTCTTGTTTGATCCAGGGAAACCGGGATTTCTTGATGGGAAGAACAGGTTGCTCCTGGCCAGAAAGGGCCTGCAGCTGCATGTCTTCACTCCAGAGAGAACCCACCCTCCCAGGGAGGAAGGAGTCTCTTGACTTTAAGGACCTGCCAGCGGCAGAGGCAGGCTGCTGGACAGTGGAGGTCCAGCGGCGTTTTAGAGCCCTGTCTGAGCTGTCAGTCCGGCGTCCTCATTTCTGCTGAGCAGCGCAGGGGCTAGGACTCCGAATGTCCACATGGGTGACCTTCCCTTTTCTGGGAGTTAGTTTCATGGATTAGTAGACAAGATCAGGGTTCTTTCCAGTCTAAAGTATATCATTCTTTGTGTTCCTTTTATAACCTAGAGAGGGCCAGAGGGGCTGAGCACCCTGGGATCGGGGCAGGAACAGAGGCTTAATTAAGGCACTGGTCCAGTCTGGGTTTTAGCTGAGAACTGGCCCTTCTTCTGGAGGAGGAAACCCTGAGGAAAGAAGTGACCTGCCCAAAGTCACACATCTACTTCGTGGTGGGGCCAGGACCAGAATCTAGCCTTCTTGGTTCTTCCTCTTGTGCCCTTTCTCTTACACAAAGCCTGCAGTGAGAGTGCATGGTGGCCCTGGGGCAGTGTCCTGTTTGTCCTACAGGTTCTCCCTATGGGCTGTGACCACCAGACAAGAGTTTTCAGAGACTCCTGTCCAACCTCTTCTAGGTTTCAGAACTCTAGGGGAAGGAGAACTTTCTGGAAGGGTGAGCCTTTGGAAAAGGAAGACTATTTGGAAGAGGGGGAATTTGAGGTTCTCCCCGAGGGTTCCCCGAAGTGGCAGGCTTGCCATGTGTGAGCCCAGGAGAGCAGATCAGGTTTGGGCATGTATAGTCAGTTTTGACCCGTGTACTCTGGAGTTTGATCGCCCTCTCCGTTCTTTGGCCAGAGAAACTTGTTAACTCATTATTAGGAGGTGTGACCATCACCTGATCGTGGGAAGCCAAGTTTGACTGCTCAGCTGGTAAACTTCTGAGCACTCTGGGTTAAATTTTGCTGATTTTCTGTACTATGACCACTTTCCTCCTATGCCCCCTGGCCCCACCAACTCTGCTGCCCACCTTTCCCCCCATGTCAGCATGTGCCTGCACACGCACGTGCGCATAGCCGTAAAGAGAATGAAGATTGAGAACAGTTCTGTGGGGGGTGTTTCTGCAGACACCTTGGCTTCCATGGAGAACACATGCAGCTCTTTCTCTGGAGAGTTAACTTAGGGGTTGCTGAGCAATCAGTTTTGACGTGGTGGAAAGGGTGCTGATGGTATCCAATCATACAGACCCCAGTGCACATTTCTGCTCTGTGACTTGGGCCTCTCTGAGCTTTGGCTTCCTTGTCTGCAGAAGGTGATGATAGCTGTCATTCTTCCAGGGGGATGTTGCGAGGATGAAATATGGTCACGCATGTGAAGTGCGCACATGATGTCAGCATTTAATAAATCATCGCCATGATTAGCTATGAGAACGAGCCTCAGTTTTCACCTTTGACAAATAAGTATAATAATATATCTGCCTCCTAACGCTGTTGGGGATGAAGCGAGATGATGCATGGAATAAGTTCTTGTCAACTGTAAAGAAAGGCAAGGATGTAATGAAAAGAATCCTAGTATCACTGATTCAACAGGGTATTTTCTGTTACGTGATACGTATCTTATCCTATTTCCAACTCCTTGGCTCTTAAGGTATGTGGGTGCATTGCTGGCCCATAATGCTCGATAAATTCATTGCGATATCTGCCCCGCCGCCCCATTTTGCCCTTCCACATCCCCAGAAGTCCTTTCCATCGGGGTTTTTGTAGGAAGTCCTAGCTTCTGCTGCAAGTTAAGTTTTATTACAAAGAGTGAGGCTGTCTTACGCGGCGATCCATTGATTTTTTTCCTGAGCTTCTGCAGCCAGTTGAGCTGTGTCTGGATAGCCGCTCATATCCACCTCAGTCCGCCTCCTTCCAGCCCAAGGAAGCCAAATCTCTGGCTTGGGCGGGTCCTTGGCCCGTGAGCCTTTGGCTAAGAATCTGAGCTTAATTCATGGTTGTCCAAAGGCAATTGCTCAGCGAGGACTGAAATGCTCAGGGCTGATTCCGGATGAGGAACACGCTTGTCTTCCGCCCCCACCTGCCTCCGTTAGCCATAACCAGGGCCTCGCCTGGCAGTGGAACTCACCGTTTTCTGGTTTGGAAATCTGTCTCTATATACAGCAATGCCCTTGTGGTTTAATTTTGTACCTCCTAATTTCCTCCTACAGGATATCCCTGAGTAGGATTTGGGTAGAATCTTCTTAGAGACCCACAGGGCTTTCCTCCTGAAGCCTCCTCCTGAAGCCTGGGGTTGATTCCATGAATAACCCTGAAATGCCTTGGGAGAAAGGGCCTGGCTAGGAAGGTGCTGGGCTTGGTTGGGCTGGGAGCGGGGATGAGCTGGAACATCCTGTACGATGCCTTTTCTTCCCATCAGGTCCCTTCTGTAGCTGTCACTAATTTCTGGCTGGCTTCTGCTTCTCCCCTCACCTGGCAGGACCTGTGTGGGGCCACCACCTGTGACACGTTGGGCATGGCTGATGTGGGCACTATGTGCGACCCCAAAAGAAGTTGTTCTGTGATCGAGGATGATGGGCTTCCATCAGCCTTCACCACTGCCCATGAGCTGGGTAAGTCTAGAGGGGGGTTCTTGTGTGGAGGGGGGAGAACTCCCTTCTGGGGCCTTTCTGGGTTTGTCCTGGGTGCTTTGGGCAGGAGGTAGACATTTATCTTTGCTTCTTAATGTCCTGAAGCCTTAGAGATCCTTCCTTAGGGTCAGAGTCTGCCTTAGCAATGGCTTGGTTTTATTTTTTCCAGTTGCCCCAGCCCAGTTGGCCAGCCATATTGTCTGATTCAGCAGTCAGAATATCTCATCAATCAGGCACTAAGGGGAGAATATTTTAAATACACTGCTGTCCCCACTGAGCCCACAGCCCAATGGACAGGACCAGGAACGCAAGAACACCATCTTGACATTTGCAAAGCAGTTTATCTCTAGGTTGAAATGACCAGCCTGAGAACTGCTGACACGGGCTCTCTAGCTTCCCCGGCTGAGCCCCTCTCCTTTTAAAACTGCAGAGCCCACATCCTTCTACCCTCTGAGTCCTCTTGCCTCACCCCACAGGCCACGTGTTCAACATGCCCCATGACAATGTGAAAGTGTGCGAGGAGGTGTTTGGGAAACTCCGAGCCAACCACATGATGTCCCCAACACTCATCCAGATCGACCGTGCCAACCCCTGGTCTGCCTGCAGCGCTGCCATCATCACTGACTTCCTGGACAGTGGGCATGGTAAGCCAGGAGGACAGAAGAGGGATTTTGGTGCTGTCCCTGGAGAGAGAGCTCAGCACCTCTCTGGACCTGTCTTCTATGACCTTAGGCATGCGTGACCACCAAAGAGTTGGGCTCTCAAAGGGGGTCCATTGCACTGGCCCTTGCTTCGTTGTCTCTCTACCATTTAGACTCTGGGCTGGCCACGTCCCACCTTTCTCAACTCATCTCTCATGAATGCCCTTGGCTCCCCACAGGCGACTGCCTCCTGGACCCACCCAGCAAGCCCATCTCCCTGCCCGAGGACCTGCCTGGTGCCAGCTACACCCTGAGCCAGCAGTGTGAGCTGGCCTTTGGCGTGGGCTCGAAGCCCTGTCCCTACATGCAGTACTGCACCAAGCTGTGGTGCACCGGCAAGGCGAAGGGGCACATGGTGTGCCAGACCCGCCACTTCCCCTGGGCAGATGGCACCAGCTGCGGCGAGGGCAAGTTCTGCCTCAAGGGGACCTGTGTGGAGAGACATAACCTCAACAAGTACAAGGTGAGTGTGCGGGAGCTGCGCAGCAGCTCTTGGGGCTGCTGGGGGGCCGGGGGTGGACTTGGAGGCCTCTGGGGGGAACGGCTTTGCTGCGTGGCCAGAACTGTAGCACATCGCAGCTCGGTGTCTCTGTCTTCCTGTCTGGGTTCCTCTTCCCGTCTTGATTCTGAGACTGGAGACAAGACATACGGTAGGTCAGGGAACTTGCTGAAGCCTTCCTTAGACATGGGGGAGAAGGCTCGCCCCAGGCGCCAGGAGGCCCAGCCCTGAGCTCTGGGCCTCATCCTACCTGGGGAGGAGCCCTGAACCCAAAGCCCAACACTAGATCTTCGACATTCCTCACTTGTTGGCTCCTTCCAGCCCCCACTCCTCCTTTTATCAGCTATTTCTGAGTGTGTTTTGTTTCCAGGGAGCTCTGGGCCCGAGGGGAGCCAGGCTCAGCTCTGAAAGGAACCAGATCCCTGGGCAGGCTCCAGTAATTTCCTACATCCCGAACACAGCTTCGCTTTTTGTCAAGATTGGTTTTTGAAGCTGAAACAAAATAGAGCAAGTTTTTCTTTCTTTCTTTCTTTTCTTTTTTTCTGGTAAAAAAGACTATCAGTTGAATAGGAACAAATCCCAAACCCCACATGCTCTCTGAATATAATAAAAACTTCAGGTTAGGGGTTGGGGTCACAGAGGGATTGGGACTTTGTCAGCCAGGAATAAGATGTCCCTCCTCTCCCTTGATCCTGATGATGGTCCCTTCCCCACCCCTGCCTCTGCTGCAGACCACCTTGACTGGGGTTTAGTACACGGAGACCATAACATAAAAAAACATTTGCCAGCACTTCATCGGCTGCCCTGAGCTGGGTTTGGTACACAATTATGTAAGATCTTTTTCTGTGTTTTGGAAACATATATTTAATTAAGCCATTAGCCCTTTATTGGGCATTAGCCCGCTGTATTTAGAGAACTGTGCAAGGAACTGTGGTCGTCAGAAAAAGAAATAAAACCTGGGTCGTGTCTCAGTGGGCTCACAGTCTAGTGGGGAAGCTAGAAATGTTCCTATGATCCCAGACACAGAGAAGGTGTGTTCTGTGTTAAGACTGAAGTGTGAAACGTGTCCTGGGAGAATAAGAGATGAAAGATTGATGATGACTAGAGAGGTCTGAAAAAACTTTGGTGAGGAGGTCAGGTTTGGAGAGAGCCTTGAGGGTCTCAACAGGCAGAGATGGACCAAAGTCAGAGAGGTGGGACAAGCTGGGGGAGTGGGTAGACGGGCTGGGGCTCTGTGGGAAAGATCTTTGGGGGCATGGTTTAGGGCTAGTCTGGGCTTGCCTTGACCACCAGGCTGTGGGTTTAAACTAGACGGTCCTGAGGACAGGCCAGCCGTGGCCAGCTCCTTCTCTTGGGAAAATGAGTCTAGTGGATAAAGACATCGCCCAAGAGGATATTGGCTATAGGAAACAGGAAATGTGATCTGAGGAGCCTGTGGAAAGATGATCCATCAGCAGCAAAATCCACTACGTCCTCAATCTCTTTTCTGGACGGTCCCTTCTCCACGGGCCCTTCATGGAGGATATTGCCCTAATCAGCAGAGGTCAAAGCACAAAGCTTATCTTCCTAATCACACAGCTTCCCTGCGCCCACCTGCCCCCCTCACTCCCCCTGCCGGCCGGAATCTCAGGTACCATAATCGCACTCTGACCACCAAGGCCCTGTTGTCCGGCCCTTTAGTCTGGACTCCAACGATTCTTCAGCTCCACTTGCTCTTCTCATGCCTTCATCCACCTTCTTCTTGAGATTCCACGGACCATGGTTACAACCACTCCTTCAGGTATACTCGCGGCTCCCATGTTCCTGCCTCTCTTTCTTAGCTATACTCACTTGGATGAGCTACCGTCCTGGTGAAATCCAGCTCCTACCTGTTCAGCTGGGCCAGTGTGGGTGAGTGTGGCTGGAGAGAGACATGGAACCCTGCTCAGCAGTCTCAGTTTAAACTAATGACCTGACAAGTAGGTGGGCCCGGAATGCCGCTCCGCAGGCATCACGTATTTTATTGGCTTTACTGCACTCATTCTCCCAGTATCCTGCACGATCATGTCACACCTTTGCCTCTCTCCTCCATTACCAACTCTTTCTCCTCATTTCCACTCTGGCCAGCGACCTTTCTTCCTATCTCATTAAGTTTTTCTTAATGATTAAGAAAAATTAAGTTTTTCTTAATTAAGTTTTTCTTAAGAAGCAATCAGTAATCCCATGAGAACGTCCACCAGCTCCCACCTCCACATCTGCCGTCGGCCCACTTCTGTGCCTGTAATCTCTACCTTTCCTCCTTTGTGATGGATGAGCTGTCCATGCTCTCACTGGAGGCCCGGCACTGTGCTTTGCAGTTAGGATACTATCCCTTCTATTCAAGGAAAGCACTCCTTTCATTCTTCCATCTCTCTCCCGCAGTGTCAGATTTCCCCTCTCTCGAGCTGAATCATTCCTATCAGGATACAGACTTGCTGTAATTCCTCCCACCTTAAACAAACTTCTCCTAATCCTACTTCCTCTCGATAAATCACAGTCTCTCTCTCTCTGACTCCCTTCACCACAAAGTTCCTGGAAAGAGTGGTATGAAATTGCTCTCTCCAGTTCCCGTCTTACCATTTTTTCTCTGGAGCCCATTCCAGTCTGGCTTTCAGTCCTACTCTTCCTCTAAAAATAACTCTCACTATAGTCGCCAAACGGCCTCTACACTGCTGAAGTCCGAGATTAATTATCGTTCCTCATATTGCCTGACCTGTTAGCGGCATTTGACACAGCTGATTACCCTCTCCTCTGGGAACATGGGCTCCACTGCATCTTGGTTTCCCTCCCCCCACTTACTGGCTGCCCCTTCTGGTCCCCTTCACCGGGTCTTCCTCATACTCTCATTTTTCCAATGTTGGGCATTCTAGCGCTGTCCTTAGCCCTCCTCCCTATCACACTGACCTCTTTGGTGATCTAGGCCAAAGACTTCAAGTATCACTTACATTTATACGTTGAAGTCCCCCAGATTTGTATCTCCAGCCCAGACCTCTGTCCTGAACTACAGATTGGCATGTCTCACTGAATCTTGACATCTCCATCCGGATAACTGAAAAGCATCCTAAACATGACGTGTGTAAGACTGAGCTCCCATCCGCGCACTGCTTGGGCCAACCCTCTTTTCTCTCACATCCATCCCTCTGATATTTCAGTAACTCCTGTTGACTCTATTTTCAAAACAGAGCCAGAATTGAGTCTTTTTTTTTTTTTTAACCACCTTATCTGCAGTTACCCTGCTCCAAGCTACTTTGGATGATTGGTCTTGTACCCTAAGTGATCTCCTTGCTGCCGGTCTTACTTCTTACAGATTGTTCCCACCATAGCAGCCAGAAGGATCCTTTACAATGTAGCTCAGGTCATGCCCCATGCTCAGAACTCTTCAGGGGCTCTCCTCTCCGCTCAGGATTGTGAGCCCTATCTCTGCCTTCATCTCCTGCTTCTCTTCCTCTTGTGAGGCTGGAGCACTCTAGGCTTGTCCCTCCTCAGGGTCTTTGCACTGCTCCTTCTGTCTGGAATGTTCTTTCCCTAATATCTGCGCAACTCCCTCTTGTACTTCCTTCAGGACTTTTCACTAGGGTAACCTCTGCAGTGAAGACTCCATGACCCCCTGTAATATAGAGCAGCTCACCTCCCCCTCTCCCACCTGCATTTAACCCCTCCTGACCCTCTATAAGCACAGGCTTATCTTTAGTTTCTTCTGCTGGATAGCAGTCACTTGGAGGGCGGGGATTTTCTCACACGGTGCCAGGCATTAGTGAGAAGGCAACAAATATTTGGTGAATGAATGACACGTGGCAGGGCAGGACTGTTTTGTGGGGGATGAATGTTTTCTGTAGGAACAGGTGATACCAGGGTAAAAACAAAAGTAACAACCACCACCACCACCACCATCACCACCACCACACAGCATCATCTCAGAAGCCACAGAGACAATGTGAAGAACTGAAGGAAAACTGGAGATAGCGAGGTCTAAGCACAGACTCTTTTAGTCTATGGAGGGTCATCTCAGACCTTTGAAAGAGCAGCTTCCCTGGTGTGTTGGGGACCAAGCCCATGGTGCAAGGCACTGAGGAGGGAGGAGGTGCGAGGAGCAGATGTAGACACTCCTAGGGAATGGAAGGCTGGAATGAGGTGGGGCGCTGGCTGGAGGAGGAAGCAGGGCTATGGGCCAGTGTTTCTCTCACAGGAGGAGAGACATGTTGACACAGTGACACAAGAGCTATTCGACCAGCAGACGGACTATGCTGCATGTGTGCATACGCTAATGTATTTACGTGACATGCAGCCAGTTCCTGATCAGCTCCATGCGGGTTAGTCTCTTTGGAGGATGCATGACAGCATTTTAATCCCGGGCTTGTACAACTGGGCTGCTTCCCCTGTTGCCTGACTGAGGTGCGTTCAGAGGATGAAAACTCGCTTTGCTGGCATCCTAAGAAAAACATAATGAAGATACATTTTCAACCCCTTCCCCACCCTCTTAAAAAATGAAACAACACTACATCATTCACCTCGAAGCCAAGTAGAGTTTTAGGATTGCTTTGTAGTTTCCTATCTTCGTCTCCTCCGAGCACAAACGCTAGAACCTCTTCGAGTGAAACTTTCTCAGATTCAGCCCCTGATTAAGCTGAACATCTGGTTAAGTCTGGTTGGGAGAGAAGTCAGAATTATGGAACACTGACAAAGAAAAATATCCAGATATCTAGGTCAACAAGGTTTCCTGGCAAGTCTGGGGGCTGCCGCTGCCTCAGATTTAGAGACTTGTGTCTCCAACAGTAGGTACGGAGAAACTCTGAACTCTTGTTCCATGGCAAGCACAGTGCTAGGAATTTTCATACACGTTGCATCATTTAAAGTTCTGTCTGATCTCACACCTGAGTATTATTGGCCCCATGTTTGCAGATGAAGCCCTTGAAATTTAAAGAGGTTTTACTACTTGCTCAAGACCACCCGTATGGTGAGGACAGAGGCAGTGATAGAACTTGGCCATCTGACTCCAGAGCCCAAAGGGGCCTCTCTTCTGAGCAGCCTCATTTATAACGGGGTGCAGTTGGCGCTTGCTAATTACCATGTTGAAGTGTTGCCTGGGCACTTGTGTATGCTGACCATTTGCTTGCTATTTTCCCATTTTCCCTGTGTGATACACAGTGGATTTCCTTCCGGTGGGATGGGACCATGAGGCTGTACCCGTGTAACCCTTCTGCAGGGTCAGGGTGTGGATGGGCAGCTCAACCCCTGCATGAGTATGATGGACTCTTTTTTATAGGTGGACGGCTCCTGGGCCAAGTGGGAGCCCTATGGAACCTGCTCGCGCACCTGCGGCGGGGGCGTGCAGCTGGCCCAGAGGCAGTGCAGCAACCCTACCCCTGCCAATGGGGGCAAGTACTGCGAGGGAGTGAGAGTGAAATACCGATCCTGCAACCTGGAGCCCTGCCCCAGCTCAGGTGAGGAGGGGAGGGCCCCTCTCCCTGCCCACCCCCCCCACTTCCTGGCTGCAGATTACTGCAATGAAGATTCTTTCCCCTAGGGCCAAGTCTGGAAGTGCAGAAGAGCAGATTCCTCTTGGAATCACTTCTTTGCCCACTCCCCTTGGGCAGGCGTGTTTTATTCTTGCTGCTTAGGCTGGGAACATAAGTGCACCAAGGGAATGACGCACTAGATCTCCCCTTAGTTAAGAACTCACAAGCCCATCTTCATGAGCAGGAATTCTTTATCCAGGGTCCATGAACTTGGGAGGAAAGGAAATTACATCTCTATTTTTACCTGCCTTTTTTAATTTAAATTTTTTATTTCCTTCAATTAGAGTTTAATATTATTTTGCTGCTCTTTCTATCTAAAATTTATTATGTCTTTTAATTAGGCAACAAACTGTAATACTATTAGCAGTACCCGTGACTCTGTCACCAATAGAAATCATGGATATTTCTCTTCTTTTTTTTTTTTTTTAAAGATTTTATTTATTTATTTGACAGAGAGAGATCACAAGTAGGCAGAGAGGCAGACAGAGAGAGAGAAGGGGGAAGCAGGCTCCCTGCTGAGCAGAGAGCCCGATATGGGGCTCGATCCCAGGACCCTGAGATCATGACCTGAGCCGAAGGCAGAGGCTTAACCCACTGAACCACCCAGGCGCCCCGAAATCATGGATATTTCTATATGACATTTCAGTTGGTGGAATTTCTCAGAATGTCATTTATTCGCATCACGACTTGAAAATGACAGTGGTTATTAGAGTCGTTGTATCTTATGAAATGGATTAACAAGCAAAACTATCACAAATATGTTTCAATATATACTGATAGTTGTCTATCAGTATAATTGGTATTGTTTGTAACCTATGTAATTTATTTTATCCATTTAATAACATCCTGAAAATAGTTTCAAAAGACTCCTGAAGGGTTTGATAGCTCCAAACTCTCTGGGGTACCTGTTATCCCAGATGGAGAATTGGAGGTCAGATCACTGGGGAAGTTGGCAGAGCTCCTGGGGGATGCATGGTTGTCTGCGACCTGAATCCTTTGGTCCTAGTGTACTTTAGTTCTTTGAGATGGGGTGGCATCAGTGATGAGGGTAACTTGGCTGAGGGGAAGGGCTGTTGGAGCCACAGGTAGCTCAGCATCCTGGCGAGGGCTCTCCCAGCACTGCCCCTCCCTTTAGCTTCCTGCCTGTGCTTCTTCCCTCCTCAGCTTCTGGCAAGAGCTTCCGGGAGGAGCAGTGTGAGGCTTTCAACGGCTATAACCATAGCACCAACCGGCTTACCCTTGCCGTGGCATGGGTGCCCAAGTACTCCGGCGTTTCTCCCCGGGACAAGTGCAAGCTCATCTGCCGAGCCAATGGAACCGGCTACTTCTATGTGTTGGCGCCGAAGGTGAGTGGGTGTGGGGCAGGAGACCAAAGTGGAGAGAAAGTCTCTGGAGAGGCATCCGGCTGAGCTGCCCCTCTCTCCTTTTCTCCCCCACTGGGACCACTGCAGGTGGTGGATGGTACACCGTGCACTCCTGACTCCACCTCGGTCTGTGTCCAAGGCAAGTGCATCAAGGCTGGCTGTGACGGGAACCTGGGCTCCAAGAAAAAATTCGACAAGTGTGGTGTGTGTGGGGGCGACAATAAGAGCTGTAAGAAGGTGACAGGCCTCTTCACCAAGCCCATGTAAGTTCTGGGTCCTGGAGCAGGGGGAGGAGGGCTGAGGGCAGCTATCCCAGGTGATGAAAGCTTGGGTCAGACTGGGGTAAACCGGCAGTGCCCTTACTGGAGAGGCCACTCGGACTCTTCCTCTGAGAGTATGACGTTCATTCATTCATTCATTTCTTTATCCATTCATCCATCAAGCAGAGATGAATGCTTGGTAAGTCCACCACTGAACAGGAGATACTAGTTAAGGAGATGGCAGAGGGTCATTATGGTCCGTCTAGAATTCTAGAGTGAGACTCACCTGTGTTCAAATCTCAGTTCCCCATTTTCTGGATGACCTTGAGCACGTGACACAATCTTTGGAATGCTGGATTTGCTCATTTATACAGTGGGTATGACATGAATATATTTCCTGTTGTGCTGTTGTGAAGATTAAGGTGTTAATCCAAGTAAAATGCTTAGCATTATACTTGGTACATAATAAATGCTCACTAAGTGTTCATGATGACGATCACAAAACAAAACAAGCCTAGAGACAAATGTGACAGCCTCCCCATCTCACAGATGCTGAGACCCTGTCCTCGGGGGTGGGACTGAGCTGAGAACGGCAATAAACAGCAGAGCAGGGGGCTAAGACCAAAGGATTCCCTCTTCCTGGAAGATGTGTGTAGGGTCAGCTGAAGAAATGTCTATAGGTCTCTCCAATTCCTACCTCCAGAGCTGGGGTTCCTGGCTTTCTGAAGTCCAGCATATTCCTTTGTATTTTCAAGGGGAATGTGCTTCTTAGAAAGTCCTGACCCATGGTCTGAAAGAATCTGGGGGAAGCAGAGAGTTGAGCAGGGATATGGTGGGCTCTGAAAACTTGGGAGTCCAAGGTCTAGATGGCTGTCCAGGAGTCTCCGCTGCCCCCTCTGGACACAGTGCACTCTGCTGGGCCCCTAGCTGGGCAGCTTTTCTGGGAACTGGGGGCACTGCAAGTGGATGGCATTCGCAGGGATCTGAGGGGGAGGCCAAGTGGAGAATTAAAGGTAAATATTCCCAGACTTGCTTCGCTGGCTAAATGGCAGGTGCCCCCTTCGTAGACTAGTAGGGCTGGTAGGAGTCTTAGAAAGCATCTAGTTTGACCTCCTCATTGTATAGGTGAGGACACCGGAACCCAGGGAGATGGATATGCTTGAGCCACCAGGGAGTCGGTATCCAAGGCTTGATCTGGGGGCCCGACTCCAGGGCCAGTGTGTCTCAGTAGGGTGTCTGGCCCCAGCCTTGGTCTCAGGGGCTGTAGACTTATCTTCTTCTCCTCCTCTCCTCCTTCTCGCAGTTAATACATATTTAGTGCTTACTGGGTGGCAGGAATTAGGCCATAGGCTTTATGGGTTTTAATGAGGTGTATGTGATTATGATCTCCATTTTCCAGGTGAGTCACTGAGAAGCTTAGAGACTTATCCAAGGCCAACAGCTAAGCCAGTGGTAGGGATGGGTCTGCCTCCAAAACCTTGGCTTTATTTTGCCTTAGGATTTACCACAGTATAGAGGCCCCTGGGTGGACTGTTGGTTGAGCGTCGGACTCTTGGTTTCAGCTCAGGTCATGATCTCATAATCTCATGATTATGACAATTATAATTATGATTATGACCTGAATAAAAAAGGTCACACACAGCCAGGGTGTGTAACTCTAGATAATGTGGTGACAATCTCATATTGTCTTTCAGTTTGTGTGCCCCCCGACTTCCTGAGGGGCAGTTGAAGCCATCTGCCTAGTCTTTGTTCTCTGCCAACTTGGGTTTCTGAAAGGGGAATCTGCTGCAACTCTTTTGGGAGAGAGCGCCTTACATCCAGGCATCTGTCTAAGGCACAATCCCCTTTTCCACCACAGGCACGGCTACAATTTTGTGGTGGCCATCCCTGCCGGTGCCTCGAGCATTGACATCCGCCAGCGTGGCTACAAGGGGCTGGTTGGAGATGACAACTACCTGGCCCTGAAGAACAGCCAAGGCAAGTACCTGCTCAATGGGCACTTCGTGGTGTCGGCCGTGGAGCGGGACCTGGTGGTGAAGGGCAGCCTACTGCGCTACAGTGGCACGGGGACGGCGGTGGAGAGCCTGCAGGCCTCCCGGCCCATCCTGGAACCCCTGACCGTGGAGGTCCTCTCCGTGGGCAAGATGACACCACCCCGGGTCCGCTATTCCTTTTACCTTCCCAAAGAGCCTTGGGAGGACAAGGCCTCCCACCCCAAGGACCCCCGGGGCTCCTCGGTGCACCACAACAGTGTCCTCAGCCTCTCCAATCAAGTGGAACAGCAGGACGACAGGCCCCTGGCGCGTTGGGTGGCAGGCAGCTGGGGGCCTTGCTCTGTGAGCTGTGGCAGTGGCCTGCAGAAGCGGGCGGTCAACTGTCGTGGGCCCCCAGGGCCACGCTCCACGTCTGCCTGTGATGCAGCCCATCGGCCAGTGGAGATGAGAGCCTGTGGGGAACCCTGCCCGACCTGGGAGCTCGGCGCCTGGTCGCCCTGCTCCAAGAGCTGTGGCCGGGGATTTAAGAGGCGTCCGCTCAAGTGTTTGGGCCCTGGAGGGCGGCTGCTGGCCCGGGACCAGTGCAACCTGCGCCGGAAGCCCCAGGAGCTGGACTTCTGTGTCTTGAGGCCGTGCTGAATGGGACTGTCCTTTTCTCCTCCTCACTCTCCGCCCCACTGGTGCTGCCAGGGCTCCGGCCAGCTGGAGCCATGGGCAGAGGGCGGTGGCCGGGTGTCAAGGCCATAACGTCACTCACTTCCAGGGACAAGGACCATGGGCAGGGCTAAGAGGTCCCTTCCTCCACCCTGGCCTGGGCGGGGGAAGCCAAGTGACTAATGCACAGTCTACCTCACACCCGGCTCCCCCAGGGCCCAGTCTCTGGGAGAGGCTGAGAGATGCGGGCACTGGGCAGAGGCGCTGGGGCCCAGTTTCCGAGGGATCTGGAGGATGGGCACCTCCCAGGCAGAACTTCAGGGACCTTGGCCCCCATAAGGGAGGCCACAGGCTGCTGGAAGAGCCATGGCCAGCAGCTTGGCACCCTCAGGTGGCCCCGGGGGCTCTAAGCCGTTTCTGAACAAGGCAGGTTTCTATGGTGCTGTCAGCCCGCCTTTCCTTTCTGACTGACCAGGACTGAATAATGAAAAAAATAATGGCTGGTGTGGGCAGAAACTGGTAGGAGAGTGCGGTGAGGAATAACAAGTCTGGGAAGAGGTTTATATGTAGGGGGAGTCCGGAGTTTTCTCATCTTCCTTCTACTCCTGACCCTCCGTCAAGAGCTGCCTCTTCTTCCTGTGTTGTCCAGGACGTCAGGCTGGGCGGAGGGCTTCCAAATACGTGCCCTTTGAGGCTTTGCAAATAGGTACAGGAAGTCAATAGGGAGTCTCTTGCCTTCTTCAGGAGGGATTAGACCATTGAAAAAAGATGGAAGGGATGATGGATTCTGTGGTGAAACAGGGAGTTTGAGCAGTGGCCTAGAATGTTCCGTGTCACTGGGACTGGGCTTGGGGTTTGGAGCAATGTCACCCTGGGATGGGGAGGAGTCCTCAGTTTCGATGACTCCTTCCTCCAGAGAGGTAGGTATAAATAGGGCTGCTGCCTTGGGCTCTGTGTTGCCTCAGAGAAGCTTCAGAGTGGCCACTAAGAGGGACGTGGGAGATGCCCAGGAGGGCTAGGTGCTGAACATCCACATGCCTGGAGGTGGGTCCTTCATCTGGACAGCTACATGTGGTCTGGCTTTGGGCACATCACATGACATTGCAGTTGGATAACGGGGTTCACTGTTTGCTACCTCAGGCTATGCTCTTTGGGTACCCACACCTGTCCCTTTCCTGGGGTGGTGGTGACCCTGGTGCTTCCAGTGGACCTGGCTGTTGTCCTCTGCAGACTGAGCTGCCCAGACACAAAGATAAGTGTGTGGTACATGGCTTCCTGCCCCCAGAGCCTGGCCACCCACTGGGGCTCCAAAAATGAAAGCAGGATCTCAGGTGCCTCGGGGACAGGCTTCAGGAGACACAAAAATCAATGACCTAAAAAAAGAAAGAAAGAAAAAAAGAAAGAAAATCAATGACCTGACCGAGAGGCACTTGGCAGCCACCAACGGGAACTCCTGTCTATTCTAGAGACGTGTTGGGGCTGTAGAAACCAGGGTGTTTCCTGGAGGTCCAAGTGGGAAGATGTTCTGGGGTGAGAGAGCCTTTGGTCAAGCAGGGTATTTCTTGAGGGTGCAGCTGCTCCCACATGAACATGGGAGATTCTGCTTCTGAGTTAGGTAATATGTCCTGGACTTTAGTGAGGTGATACCGGAGCAAGTGTCTTCCCTGAGAAAGGGCCTCAGTCCTTTTATTTGGCTTCCCCTAGTAGGCAGACTCCACAAACCAGTCATTCAGGTAAACCTCTGGGATGGTGCTCCAATCCCAGCCCAGCTCTGGGCTGAGCCCTTGACCGGAACACCCACAGCTGGGTAAAGGGTGTGTGGATCTCTGAGGCAGAGCTGCAGCCATTCCCGGAGAATGAAGCAAGGAGGAATCTTCCTCCCTGTATAGAGAAACCGTGGGGCTGCGACCATCAAAAGGACGCAGGGCACCAGGGCAGATGTAGACCCCCACTAGCCGACGATAGCACTGCTCTCCGTGCTTGGTGCACCCCTCCTCGGTGAGGAGAGGGTGGCGCGGGGGCTGTGCAGAATGGGCGGGGGAATGGGGAGGGGGGAAAGGGTGCTGCCATCAGTGGGGGTGACTGGTCCCCTAGCAGAGCAGCTTTAGAAATCATTTCGAGGAGAGACGACCTATCTTGTTCCTGACACAAGCTGGGCCTCAAATGCTCTTTTCTGTCATGATTTTTTTTTCCTTTTTAAAAGAAGTATGACCAAGACAACTTGGGAGGTTTGTCTTATCTTTGACCATTTTGCTAATCCAACCATGTTCTCCAAGGTTGAGCAGAGACAAGCCTCAAGGTACAGGTTTCTGGTGATGGAATGAAAAGTTAAGGTGGTATCTCATGGCTATAGAAGAGGAGGAAGATTCTGGGGGTTCCAAAAACTTCTTCCATGGGGTGTGGACCAGTAAGGATCTGGGCTCAGGAGTCCCCTGCCTCCTCTGCCCTTTGTGTGCACTGATTGGAGGAGTCCAACCTTGTGAGCCTGGCCGTGTTGGAGTAGGGGGCTGGGGTGAGCTGAAGGGCTTGGTTGTTCCCAGCCTGGGAGTTGGCTCCCGAAGGCACTAGACACTGTCACTTACAGAGCCCCCCTTTTGTGTTTGGTTCTTTCGCATTCCATGTGCAGCAGACGGATGGAAGGACCTAGGTCCTGGCTGGGCTGTGTATACTGTGTATACATGGGAGCTGGCTGCTGCGGGGACAACAGCCTGCTCCTAATAAAGTTGTAAGTATTTAACATCCGTGTCCTGCTTCCGTGACTTCATCTCATTTGCGCAGACATCCCCCAGATCTGCTGAACTGGCCCGTGTGCCAGCCATGTGCCAGGGGCTACAGTACCACAGCGACAAGGACAGGCACTGTCTCTGTCCCGTGCAGCTGGGGGAGGTAGGGCAAACAGTTGGGAAGCAAAGACCCGGAATAGTGGCAGATATGGGAGGTGCAAGGATCTGTGTACGGATTGTGTATGGGTGGAGTGACCAGGAAAGCACGGCAGAGGATGGGACATGGCTCTGTTGAGAGGGGTGGGAGTCTTTCTGTGAGGGACAGCATGCTAGGGCTTGGTGACCAGAAGGAGCAGGTGTGTGTGCAGGAGGGTCTGAAAGAAGGCCCCTGGGTCGGGACTGTGGTGAAGGGGGCAAGGCACAAGAAGAGGCTGGAGGGTCCCTTCAGTGGGGTCTCCCAGGCACCTGCCTTAGGAGGAAATCCTGTTTCCTGAGGGAAGGTATCCTCCTGTTTGATGAATGTTTCCCTCTTCTTAGCTCTGTTTTGGTCTGACAATGTTAGCAAATACCTAGGCAGGGGAGTGGTGTGACACATTTTAAAGAACATCAACGCAGAGTCCAGAAACTCGCCTTGGTCTTAGATCGGAGATCCTCTCCCGGGACTCCATTTTCTATCTGCAAAGTGAGAAAGGTAGATTTAATGTTTTAGGGTGCTTCCAGCTTTAACAGTCAGTGTTTCTAGGCACAGTGACGGTTTACACTTTGGCAGATGATTGTTTGGTTTTAGTTTGGGATTCAGAGGAGAACGGGCTTCTTCTCATGCCTTCCCTGCAGGGCAAGGCCATGGGGTAAATAACTTCTTTACGGGCTGATTGTAGACCTGGGGCCCAGGGCAAGGGTACCCGAGTAGAACTTGGACAAAGTTTTGGCACTTGATAGAAAGTTCTGGTGGAAGGAGAAGCTAGTCAGAAAAGCCCACTTGACACGATAACCTAGTTGGAGGCCTGGAAGGAACCAGGAGTGTTGATGTCTAAGCTAGAAGTCTGCAGCTTCAAAGTCTTTGTAAACCATCTCAAGACATTTGGCATATTTGGGCTTATTATTTTATTTTTGTTACCCCTTCTGTTTTGTATTGTAGCGACTGCCAGGAAAACCTTTCTAAGGAAAATTCCCACGGGTTGGTCTCTGGGTAAAGGAAAATGGTTTCTCTACTTACAATGCTTCTGACACCAAATGTGTGTGTGTGTGTGTGTTTCCCACGCCAACCAATTTTCCAACTCTCCAGACACCAATTGAGTGTCCTAGAATTTAAATCATTTCTGATGGTAACTAGCTGGAATTAGAATCAGGTTTAAGGGCTCAGTCCCAAGAGACTGCCTTCACTAAGAACACTAGTCATAAGCAGTGGGTCCCCGGGGTACCCACACTTCTGATGGACATAGCAAAGCTGAGTTTTCCCACAGTCCCTGGGGAGAGGTTTTTTTTTTTTTTTTTTTTTAAAGATTTTATTTATTTATTTGACAGAGAGAGAGAGAGAGAAAGAGAGATCACAAGTAGGCAGAGAGGCAGGCAGAGAGAGAGAGAGGGAGAACCTGGGTCCCTGCTGAAAAAAGAGCCCGATGCTGGGCTTGATCCTAGGACCCTAAAATCATGACATGAGCTGAAGGCAGAGGCTTAACCCACTGAGCCACCCAGGTGCCCTAGAAGGTTTGATAATTTGCTGGGTTGGCTCACAAAACATTTATTTATGTTCAGTGTTTTATTATTTAGGATATGATAAAAGAAACGGATGAAGAACCCAGTGAAACAGTACATACATAGGGCAAGGTCAGGAAGGGTCCCAGAGTGAAGGAATTTCTGTCCCTGTGGAGTTGGGCTGTGTCACCCTCCTGGTGTGTTCATCAAAGCAAAAGCTCTCCAAACCCTGTGGTTTAAGGATTTTGGGGAAGGCTTTCTCATATAAGCATTCTCATTTTTAATGCAATTTCCAGTCTGTCTCCTCTCCCTGGGGGATGGGGGTTGGGCTGAAAGTTCTCAGCTTCTAATCACGTGTTTGTCTTTCTGGCAACAAGTTCCCATTCTGGAGCTATCAGAAGCCCACCCAGAGTCACCTTACTAGGAAAAAACCACTCCTGTCACTCAGGAAACCCAGGCATTTAGGAACCCTGTGTTAGGAACCAGGGTCAAAGACCAAACAGAACAAAAAATGCTGCTTGTTCCCTTATTACTTAGGAAATTTAAAAGGCTTTAGAAGTTCAGTGTCAGGAACTAGGCACAGACAAATGTGTATTTC